CTTCTCCAGGGATTTGCCAAACGGTGGCCACTCTGTCTGCATGATGAACCCTTTCCTTTCCTCCTCCCAGCCAAGCGGCTGCAGACACGCTGCCACGGCATTGACAACCTGCAGTGCTACTGGATTCATCTGCTTCAGAAAGAGCTTCCCTCTCATGGTCAAGACAAAGATGCAGTCTGCCCAGACTCAAAAGCTAGTTTAACTCCTACCAAAGCAGACAGGGCAAGGAGTAAAGACACTGAGATTTTACAGCTTATAAACTGCCTTGATGTTAATCGGGAAGCTGAAGGGGGTCTTTACATGCTGCGTCCATCACTGCTTCCTCAGCTGGAAGACTTGCTAATTAACAAAAAAGATAATATTGATGAAGTGCAGCCTCCGAAGCAAGCTGAAGAAAGTTCTGAGGTTAAGGGCAAAAAGGAAGAAGGTACCTGTAAGGGCTGCAATGGGAGTTCTAGCTTGTTTGCTATCAGTGGAGTGGTGTTCAGGAGTGTGCCCATCAGCCCTTGGGCTCTGCCTGCCTTTCATGAGCTTCTCCTCACAGGTGTTTTCCCATTGAAAAATAAGCCAATGAAATTGATATTACATGAGCTGGAAACTCTGCTCTCTCCCTACGGGGTCACCATGGTTACTGTTGAGGAAGGTCTGCATCTGTTAGCTCAGCCGATGGGGACGATCGGTAGGGTGTTTACAAGCAGCGAAGCTGACGGCAGCAGCAACGTCACCATCAGTGCTTCTCTAAATTTAGACCTCCTGGCTTGTCTTTTGTTCTCACTCCCAGACTGGCGGCTGCTTTGGTCTCACGACTCACGCTTCTTAAAACAGTTTTCCCTACGACCACAACCAGGGACGTCATTTCAGCCCTTTTCTTTGTACCCCGGGTCCTTCAGCTTTGACATCAGCTTTTGGACAGGACCTGCGTGGGAGGAGAGAAGGTTCTACGCTATTGTCAGAGAGGCCAGCCACGGGACTGTGGAGCAAGTTAAGCTCATCGACACGTTCTCTCACCCTGACCTGAGTCAAACCAGTTACTGTTACAGACTCGTCTATCACTCACACACACATGCCCTGTCACACACACAGGCTCTGAAGTTTCACAAGCAGCTGGAGCTTTTACTCTCGTCTCGTCTGCAGGTCATCATCAGGTAGCACTTGAGAAAACCCGTTGGAGATGTTAGGAAGATGCGGACATTTTAATTCTCCACACGTGCTTTTAAACTGAAGAAAAAAATATCAGAAAATCTATAGTCAAACGTTTGGTTGAAACCGTGGTTGTTTTATTCATCTGAAATGTAACTAAAGTGATCCTGTGTGTGTTTGTGTTATAACTGTATAATAAACCTATTTATTTCTGACATGTTTGAATTATACAGAACATTAAACAGCAAATGAGCAGCTAAATATTTTGGTGGACACCAAAAATGTATTAAATATCATAATGAAAATTTTTTATTTAATCTCTTCCTCAATAATTTTATGACTTTTTTTTTTCTTTTCACTTTTTGGTAATAATTTTTTTTATTTAGGTTGTTTAGCTATAATGACTTTACCTTTAAAAAAATAGCATTTTTTTTTTCATTAAAAAATAAAAATGGAAGAAAACCAAAACATTTCTTTGACCAAGTCCTGGAAGTTATTATTTACCAGTGCAAACTTTAGTATTCTGTTTAATTGTGTAATATTTTTTTCTGTTCCTCTTCATTAAGGTGATAGTAAAACTTATTAAAAAGTGTGTTAAACTATCTAATCAGTTTAAAAAAAATATATCAAACCTCTTCCTTTCTTTTGAAACCATCTAATTATTTTCATGAGGTTGGTTTGGTGATTCTCATTATCCTCTAATACCTGAAAATAGGAAACATCGAACACTCTTGTTTATGTTTACAATAAATAGTGGGGGCAAAAGCAACAGACTTTTACTGTATTTATTTTTTTTTTTTTAGCATTTTTCGGGATTTTAAGAGATAATGCGATTATTTTATAAAATTAATCCATAGGATTATAACCAATTGCATAAATATCTAAGAAAACCTACAATATTTATTCTTTGATGCGTCTGAATTAATTTTTATTACGGGTTAAAATGTGTACCTTTATCTAAAACCTTAATTTGGTTTACTCTTGAGACTGTTGGTGGTGTCACTATTTGTTAAGATTTAATTAATATACAGTAGTATTCAATCGAACAACATACATTAACTTTTAGGGCCGCTCAGTGGCTGCCTTGCACCAAGATGGTTTTGGATTCGATTCCCGGCCCGGGGTCTTTCTGCATGGAGTTTGCATGTCCTCCCTGTGCATGTGTGGGTTCTCTCCGGGTACTCCGGCTTCCTCCCACAGCCCCAAATCATGACTCTTCAGTTAATTGGCTTTTTCAAATTCTCCTTAGGTCTGAGTGTGTTTGAATGGTTGCTGGTTTGGACAGATCACCAGAGTGTGTAAAGTGTCTGTGTGTATAGTCTCTGTGTTGCCCTGCAAAGGACTGGCAACCTGTTCAGGGCGTACCCCGCCTCTCGCCCATAGACAGCTGTGACCCCAGCGTGACAGAAAAAGGATGGATAATATAAAGTTACAGATCATCAAAGAAGAAGATGAAAGATCATTTAAGGCAGTGTGAAGCATAAAACATTTTTTCAGGCTTTTTTAAAAACAGTCTGCTTGCAGTACTGTTGCACTGCTGCCACCTTCACAAGCTACTTAGTTCCTGCAATCTCCAGTCAAATGATTTAATGACTCCCTTCTACCATGTCCATGTTAACATAGATAACTTTGTTTTTCCTTCTACTACTCAAGTCTTTAATCATAAGAGGTTTTATCTTACATAACCTGCTACTTCTATTACATAAAATGCCTCTTTAACTGTTAATCGAGGCCACTTCCCGTGAAGTGAGCCCTGCTGGTAATCAGCTGCCTCTTGTAACTCTAAGCAACTTCTCTGATCTGAGTAAGATTACAATTTCTATCAAAATCTGTTGTCATGTCTCATGGTTATTTAATACATATAAGTTATGAAGTGTTATTTAAAGATTTTTTCTCGAGTGATCTTTTTTCAGGAAAAAGAACTGGAGAGAGAAAGCTTCAAGGTGTAGACACAGAGCCTACATTTAACATCACAATATCCTAATATTCATCACTTAATATAATTTATAGGAGCTGGTAAGGAATTGTATTGCTGCTAAGTGTCGTGATTTATATCGGTCTATACCCAAGGAGACAAGTTTGCCCTTGTTCTTAGTTTTCTTATTTCTTTACAAACTAAGATGATGGTTGATATTATCACTTTGAAACATCGGCAAGTATAAGCACAGGTGAACAAATCAAGTATGGGTTTAATTGCAGGATTTGACAAAATTTTAAGTTTGAATAAATTATGCACTGGATAAAACAGCTTTGTTTGCCTTGCATCTGTTGGGTTTGATGACAACATTAGAAAACAAACTGTGTTGGCAGTAGTTGACAGGATGGTAATCGGGTGACCTGTGACAGATTTTGACATAGATTCCAGGTATTCTAGTTAGACTGCAGCTGGATAGGCTTAAACCTCAGTTTAAGTCATTTTTACAAAAAAAAGCTGGATAATAGCTTTAACAAGTTTTTTTTTTTTTTTTTCCAAAAGCCATCCCTATATGAGGAAAACATTCTTATATTTGGTTTAAATCAAGTATTGACTTACATTGTAGGGTCTATGTCTAGTAAGAACTGGATAGTTGTGGTTTTTGCAGAATACGGTCTGTGCGTAGTGCCAAGTTGGCTTAAGGGGAAAAGAGGAGGCTCATAAGGAGGGTACCAGTCTTAATAGAACCATCACTATAACATTGAGGAATCTGTGGCATAATTATGTTTATGTAAATTTAAGGTTAGCTTTATACAGAGGCGTAGCCATAAAATCCTAACAGGGGTGGCCAGTCAATAACCAATGTACATTGAGGGGTGTCCGAAAGGCGCCAGAACCTCACAGTCAATCTACGCTGTTCCTACAGGAACGAGGACAACATCCATGTTTTCTAAATAAAAACTAACTATACTTTCCTACAGCCTTTGCTAACAAATAGACACATATGTAGTTAAACACCCATGCTGTCTAAATAAAAGGTATGGTAGCCTTTCAGGTTTGAGGTCTGGGGCGAAAATATTTAACATTGCTATTACCTACTTTTATCAATAATCATTCTGCAAAAAATTGATACTTCAATGTACTAATATCCACATTAAATGAATTTTTAAGTTATTATTAAAGTAGTTATTTATCTATCATTTTGATGAAGACTCTTAGATGACTTACAGGGACATATAATTTTCTTTTTACCCCAAATAACACAAAATTTGGTTCTGAACAGAGTGTGAATTCTTTATTTATCATCTTTAGTTGTAAAGTAATTGTTAATATATGTAAATTTTAAATGTTTAATAAGTTTGAACATTCCCCTTGAGAGTATTACTGCTGCTACCATCTGTATTAGAGAGAAAAAATGTAAGGGGTGGCCACAGGGGTGGTCAATGATTGGCTAAGGGTGGCCATGGCCACCCCTGGCCCCCCTTCTAGCTCCACCCCTGGCTTTATATGCACAGGTTCAGGATTAACAGGTGTTGCAGCCTAAATATTTTATAATCGTGATTGTTTGCGCATCATATCAAACTTTTAATATTTTCATTGTGTTTATTTTTTCAAATCTCTTGGATAACAATATAATCGTGTTTCATACAAAATAATTGATATCGACATGATGCACAACGTTTATGACAGGGAGAACCAACATTAAACGGATAAGACCTGTCAATAACCGAACAGTCTGCAAAAGGAATCGGGGAGCAGAGGATATCAGGTTATATTTGAGTTTTTGAAACAGATTAAATTGTATAACAGGATATCATATTTTTTTTTCTTTTTTTGCCATGTGGTTCACACTCCTTACCAGTTGGTGGCGGTAATGCTCAACTAACGTTTTAGCCAACCCCCATAATAATTTCAACAGAAGAAGAATAACCGAACAGTGGCGAAAATGACCGAATCGCGACTCGGGAAATGAAGGCTGTGGAAACATGGCGGCCAAGACGCTTCGGCAGCGAGCCAGACGAGGCAGCAGACAAGATGCAAACAACGTAAACACCACAGCCGAAGCCCGGCCGGCGAAAGAAGAAAAAACCGGCGATGAAAGCAAAACAACAGAGAGCCGGCAAGAGTGAGTATGAGTTCAAAGTGAAATAAGTTTGACTTTACGGAGCTGTGAGCTCCATCTCCAGGGTAACTGACAGCTAACTTAGCCAGCTAGCTCCTCCACATCAACTTCCCACAATAACAAAGCGATATTAAACATTTAGCACGGATCACTGAACAACTGATCAGACTGTCTGCTCTTTGTAATATAAACCCAACAGACAGCTAACTGTTTCCCCTCCACATCGTTGAAGGAAAGCGGTTGCAGCAAGGCTATCAGATCAGATTCATTCATTCTACCTGAGGTTTTATTTACTAGAAGTAATCTCAGATTTCCGACGTCAGTCCTTGTAATGTATCGTCATAAAAGCTTTGTAATTTCATTTTGGCCGTTGTTTTTGCTGCCTGGCTGAAGCCACCTGAAAGTAATGTTGACAGCCCGATATGATGACGTGTCTTAATAAAAAAGGCAACATGAGGATCAGATCTGAGATATCTAGTGCAAGATGTAAAAAAAAAAAACTGTTAGCAGAATTAAGTAGAAGGCTGCTAAAATAGAAATATTACCTCAACCTGCAGGATTTGTGAATTAGGAGCATTTTTTGCAGGCATAGTAATTTACTATGCCTGCAAAAAATGCTCCTAAACCAGTGAGGGGTGTCATGGAATATATTTTGCTAGTGCTGAATGACTAATGTGACAGGGGAAGAGGTCTTCACAATTCGATTGTTAATGAAAATATGAGAGCTTCAATGTTTCTTTTTACTTTTAAAGAGACAGATGTTTTTTTGTATTAGTAGTAATGTTATTTATGACATTCCCTCTGGTATTCTGACATTGTGAGAACAAAAACTCCAATTCAGTGAGAGAAGGGAGGTTTATTGGGGTTTTAGCAGCCTGCTGACCAGCAGTGCACAGAAGCAAGGATGCATCTTTATGATTTATACTATAAATCATAAAGACGATTTATAAGTCTTCAACAGGGGGTCCGCGACCCCTAGAGGGTCCCCGGAGGTACTGCATGGGGTTTTGCAAAAGATTTGGTTGATTTTTCTTTGTTTTTTTATATTCCCCCCTGCAATTTTTTCTACTAATTGAAATGTCTTTAAATACACATTAAAATTAATTCAACAGACTGTAGTGAAGAGATAAACGGAGGCAGAAGATGTCTTTAAGTCATCAATGCACACATTCAGCGACACACAGGAGCTCTTTCAAGCTGGGCACCGTTTCATTCACAACACCTATCCCACTTTAGTTACATTACTCTATATGTAATAGAGTGACTAAAGGACCAGTTTGATATAACATCATTTCATACAATATATAATTACCGTAGCTCCATCTCGCAATTTTCATTTAAAAAGAGTATGGAACGTTGTCTATTTAAGAAATGTTAAAGTTGTTCCAGTGCTGTGAGTATCATGCAGGGGAACTTTAAACAATTTCTAAGCAAAGATTTCTTCGGTTTTAACAGGCCGATTAGTCGAGGAGGTCAGGTATGGGCGCCAGAAGGGTCCACAGCGTTTAAATGCCTACTTTCTGCACGTTTTTGTGCTGCTTTGCTCAGCAACATCTCCGACTGTGACGAGACGTTTAACTACTGGGAGCCTGTGAGTACAACTTTCTGCTAAAAACGTCAAGTGTCCTCTCCTTTGCAATGCTAATAAAAAGCAAACTTGCCTCACTGCCTACCTGGCAAACATTTTGCTGTTTCACTTGTTTATGTCTTGTTTTGTTTCCACAGATGCACTTTCTCTTGTATGGGACAGGAATGCAAACATGGGAATATTCCCCGTTGTACGCCATCAGGTCATATGCTTACTTATGGCTCCACGCTCTGCCGGCCTGTTTGCATGCCCATGTTCTACAGACTAACAAGGTAAATGCAACAATTTCTTTCTTTGTTTATTTTGATCTGTTGGTATTTTTGTGTTAAGCTAACAGCTATAAAAGCTTTCACAACAATCTTCCATCAGATCAATAATATGAAGAAATCAGTTTTTCAAAGGGCAAATGTTTCATGTTAAAATACAAACTGTTGTAACTAATGTTGTATAAACATTGTGTAATAAAAAGTTTTTGTTATGATTGTGTTCCAGGTGTTGGTGTTCTACTTTGTACGATGTGTGTTAGCATTCTGCTGCTGTGTCTGTGAACTCTATTTTTACAAGTGAGTTTCTTTTCTCTTATTGCAGATTTGTATTATAGCATTTTAAGTTTTATTCTGCCTCATTAAAAGAAAATAGAAATAAATAAAGTCACTATCAGGACCTAACTGATCATAGAGATCCCACTCTGATGTTGGCATGACTCTTTATGCTGCAATGTTGGAACTGATGAGTGAGGAAACTTCATTTCTGAAACCGATGCTTTCCTAAGATGGGGCCACCACTAAAGGCCAGGGGAAAAGTAAACGGCAAGGGGGAGATGATTAATTATGGCTCATAGATTTTAGTTGTAACTTTTGCCTGAAGTTCGAAAATGTATAAATAAAAAAAAAAGATGTATATTGTGAATTGCTATTTTTTTTTGTTTCTTTTTTTTTTTTTTTTACCTCTTTAGGATTTGATAGGAGTTTTCATAATCTGTAAGGTTAACTTTAATGACCTAAACAGCTACTGTTTAGTTTACCAACTAAACAGCAATCTCTGTGTGTAATCATCACATAATAAAATATTTAAATGTAAATAGGTTTTTTAAAAGCCTGCAAATATCTTGCAAATCAGTTTTAATTTTTAAGGAGCTGATAAGTCCACCAATCAAACTAGATAATAGTGAAAAATGACCAGAGTTCTCGTTGGAAGCAAGAAACAAACAAACAAAAAACAGCTAAAGGATTTTAGTCTGTGACTTCTTTTTAATACATTTATCTTTTTGGCCAGGCAGTGCTTGGATGCATATTCTAGTGTGTTTGAAACTAAAGCAAAGCTTTTGGTCTGTTTGCTGCGGTACAGGGCGGTGTGTAAGAAGTTTGGTTTGCATGTGGGGCGACTGATGTTGGCATTCCTTGTCCTGAGCACGGGAATGTTCTCCTCCTCGGCAGGTTGGTCACCCTTATTCCCAGCTTGTCTGCTTTTATCATTTGATGCTTGCAATTTATTAAATCGCTTATGGAAACTAAAATGAACAGAATAAAATCTTCTTTTCATTCAAAGTATCCATTTTTCCTTCTCAGTTTTTATGTCTACGTTGCAGTTGAAACAGAGATAGTTTTAAGTTTTTCTGCTTTTAAAGTTATTTTTGTAAAACAAATGAATAAATATAAAATAAAAATAATTGGAATGACAAACATGTCCTGAATGTTCAAGTCTATGTTCTTTCTTTTAGCTGCAATTCTGAAAAGTTCATTTTTTTTTATAAAGGTGATCCACTTTATATTATTAAGACTTGGTGTTGCAAAAAGGTCCAAGTCAGTTTGCATGTTTCCTCTTCCCTTATGCGGCTTCTGAAGCTAAAGCTCAGATTAAACAAACTCATTTCAAATTGGGGTTTTTTATACTACCTCACTCCAGAAATAAAGTAGCATCAAAGGTAAATAAATGTGTCCAGTTTATATTCAGAAAAGTATAGTCCGTTCAAAAAAATAACAGGGAAAAACTATGTAATTATAATTATGGAACAGACAGTCAATTTCAGTTCATTAATCTGATTTGTTAAATGTTTCCTGGCTGAAGAAAAAGCAGCCGATTGCATTTAGTCACTAACTGCAGCAATCTCTCTTCTTAAACGAGCATCTGGTGACAGTAGACGGTTGATTGTATCGGGTCCTTATCTCTGCAGCATCCCTCAGACCTCTAGTTAATATTCTTACAGTGCACAATGCTTCTTTGACAGCTTTTTTTCTCAGATTTTTGTTTCTCATCATTCATACTTTTTATTTTGTTATATCTTTGCTCTTTCTCCTCAGCTTTTCTACCTTCCTCTTTCTGCATGTACACAACCCTGATTGCCATGACTGGGTGGTTTCAGGACTCGATACCGTTGGCTGTTATGGGTGTGGCTGCCGGCGGAATCGTCGGATGGCCATTTTCTGCTTTGATTGGGTGAGATTGTAAATTTGAACAGTCCTTTTTTAATAAGTAAATCTAGAATATTTAATTTACTTATTTATTTTCTGTTAATGCTGCTTTAATAATCGTCCCTCCAGGTTTCCGATCGCGTTCGACCTGCTGGTGATAAGGAGAGAGTGGAAAAGTTTTCTGATCTGGTGTGCCCTTGCTTTGCTACTGTTGCTGGTGAGAATGTTTACACTAATTCTTTGTTAAATAAAGACATTTAAAAATCTCTATTACCTTCTGCAAAGGAAATCTCCAGCCATCTCTTTAGCTGGTTTTTTGTCAAAGTAAAATGTAACGAAAGAGATTATAATTTGTTCATAGGATTCACCGTTTTATGATTTCTAATTGCTCTTAAAACAAGAAATGTGTGTATGTGTCATTTGATCGTATTTTCCAGGTCCCTCTGGTTGCGATTGACTCCTTCTTTTATGGAAAACTGGTGATTGCTCCACTCAATATCCTGCTTTACAACGTCTTTACCGAACATGGGCCTGATCTTTATGGTAACCTTCACAAATATGGTCTCAATTTATTTATCATGATGACGCGTCTTAGAAAGCTTAGAAAACAGCATAAAACTCTTTGGGACATTATAATAATTAAAAAGATCAATTTAAAAAGTTTGAAACTTCTTGGTGAGAAATGGTGCTTGTTGCTTAGTTTCCAGATTAATGTTATTGATGTTTGCACTGGAACATATTAGGGGAAAAAAATGATTTGGGCTCCATCCTTCAACTAGTTAGTGTAGAGACAGAAAGTGCCATAAATGAGCCATGAATGGATTTTTTTTTATGTGTTCATTTACAAAAATAGCAGATTAAAATATTACATTAATTAAATAGTAATTTGTTATACATTTTAATTAAACTTCAAGATCCTAAATATTTTATGTTTACAAAAATGTTAACTCTTGGCAGTATTTAAATTTTTTTTCCTTTCTAAATAAAACTTTTAGACTGCAGAGCAGATTAATAAACCAATCTGGAATAATCTCATAGAATAGGTTAGGCCGTCTCATCAGATGTCCCTACAAAGCAGAGCTGTAAAGAATAAAATGATTTTATAGGTTATTACTTTTCAGAAAACAATTTCCCACATTTAAATGATTAATTGGACTGAAAGATATTTGCAAATTAAGTTAACCCAAGTGGTAGTTCCTGCATCCAAAATAACATTGTTTGGACCGAAGGTCAGTTTGATATCACAAGGAGTGTTTCTGATGTTTGTGTCTCTCTGTTCTTAGGTACAGAGCCATGGTCTTTCTACTTTGTTAACGGAGTCCTGAACTTCAACCTGGTGTTTGTTTTGGCGCTGTTCTCCCTACCGCTCACTGCCCTCATGGAGACACTGTTGCACAGGTTCAATGGTGAGTTCTAATTATTTTCCTTATCTCTTTCCTATTTTTTTTGCTTGTTTATGGTAATGAGGCGCTCAAGTTTTGTCGTCTGCCGTTGTTTTTGTTACCAGATATAGACATTTATAGGCCCAATCTAAGCCCTGTAAACTGCATGGCTGGTGATATCTTTTGTATTAAGATCCCACTTTAATTGTGTAATATACCCATTCATTGATGATCATATAACAGAGTGAGGTGTTAACTATTGGGATCGCCTTGGGTGAGACCTGCTCCAATGTCCCTGACAGACAGGTCGTCTGTTCCAATGCTGTACCGAGGGCCAACCCCCTGATACTGCAACAGTTTGGAAGCTCCTCCTTCAATCTTTCTAGAACGGTTTCTTACCGTCTTTGCAAGAAGGGCAATCGGGTGTAATAGCTCACTCTATTATGGAAGAACCTGGGTTATGCAAGTTCTTTTTCCAACTTTGTTCAGTGTTTCGGTATGAGAGATTCTCCCGAACTGTAAACACGGCTCCTAAGGAAGAAGGTTACTGCGAGAGTGCCCAAGATCTCCACACACCTCTAGTAGAATGTGCCCTCAACCCTTGAGGAGATTTCAAACTTCTGCAGCTGTAGGCAAAAGAGAGATGGCTTCCATAATCCAGTGAGACAGGCTCTGACAAGAAAAGGACTTCCCCTCGTGTCGGGTCGCCTATGTGACAAATAGCTGGGGTCCCATACTGACATCAGCCGATCTGGAAACATACATGTAGAACTCGACTGTATGTAGTCTATTAAGACGCTTGTCATCTCCAAAGGAAAAAGTCAGAGGATGGAATGCCCTAAGCTCGACTGTAGCGCAGCTAAAAGCAGAATCCAATACCTTGGGGGGTGGCCCTAGCTCCAGCATTGGAACCATGGACCCATCTGTAAGGGACAGACTTGGTGTCATTGGAGTTTAAAAAAGTAGCTGCCTTTAGTTTAGGTATAATTAAAACATTACATGAGGCTCAAGTGTTTTATCTGTACTTATGATCAGATTAGATTTTATTTAAAATAACAGTACTTGCCTTTTTGTTTTTTTGCAGTTCAGAACCTGGGCCGCCCGTACTGGCTAACGCTCTCTCCCATGTATCTGTGGATGTTGGTTTTCTTCACTAGACCTCATAAAGAAGAACGCTTTCTCTTCCCCATCTATCCCCTCATCTGCCTCAGTGGGGCAGTAGCACTCTCTTCTCTGCAGGTATAACTTGTCGTTTTCCCAGGTCTATGACTCAGTTACTTTTGATTAGGGAGATAAATCACATTGTTGTTTTTTTCCCCCCAATAGAAATGCTACCACTTCCTTTTCCAGCGATACCGACTGGAGCACTACACTGTTTCCTCCAACTGGCTGGCTTTGAGCACTGTTGTTGCCTTCGCAGTGCTGTCACTGTCCCGCTCTGTTGCCCTTTTTAGAGGTTTGTGCACCAACAGGCTTTGCCCCTCCCTAAGCAGCAGTGCTGGTAGTAAGATTGACATTTTAACGTTAGGTTTAATTTTGTTCTTAGGCTACCACGCTCCTCTGGACCTGTATCCAGAATTTCACCGCATTGCCAAGGATCCAACGTTGCACTCCGTCCCCAATGGCATACCAGTCAGTGTGTGTGTTGGCAAAGAGTGGTACCGCTTCCCCAGTAGCTTCCTTCTGCCTCACAAGTTAGTATTCAGTAGTAGCCAGATTTTTTTTTCTTATTTACTTATTTTTTAGATTCTTTCTTCAAGATCCTTTTCTAATGACTGAGAGAATACAGAAAGACACCAACTAAATACTAAACCATCTAGGGCAGTTGCTGGCATGCCAGCATTCTTTTATAACTACACCTTTTAAAACATATTCGTGTAATTATAATAATAGTAAAAACACTAAAAAAGATACATAGGCAAACTATAAATAATATACAGTAATATTCTATATTTTATTACCTGTTCCAATCTCATTAATTCAGTTTGTCTCATTTCCACCATCCATCAGTCATCCTGTGAGATAGTGAATGGGCCATCTAGTTGCCTTTCCATCCTGCTCTGAGAAATGTGTAATTTCATGGTAAACATGAGGATTGATGGGTAAAAATGTGTTGCTAACTTTCAAATTGTTGTGAATCAGTGAGGACCATGCACACTGCTCCATGCAGGATGAGCAAGATGCAGACTTTGTACACACAAATGCATCACATTAAGAAGAAAAGAAAGAAACAGAAAAGAAAAACAATTGAGAATGGAAACAGAATCACATATGTCATAAAGTAAGGTTATACACATTAATTTAGTCTGAAGTTTTACAGTATTCTTCTTTGGAGAGTTGCAAAGGGGATTTCAATTTCATATTTTAATTCTGAGTTTAAACCTCTGCAAGAAACAAATTAAAGAAAAATGTTTTTGAACCCCAGTCGGCCTCGGCAGATAGCCGCTCACACTGAGCCTGGTCTTCTTGAGGTTTCTTCCTGTTAAAACAGAGATTTCCTCTTCACTGTCGCTACAAGCTTCCTTTGTGTGAGGGATTGCTTTTGAGTCAATGAGACGATGCAATCAGCTGGTTTTTAGTTGATAGAAAACTCTGACCGTATGATCAGGTTTAAGTATAGACGCCTTTAGTGATAGGTGAGGCTCTCCTGCCGTCCAGAGACCTGCACCCCATAGCGCGACTAACTCGGCATAAGCTTTTTGTATAGTTGGTTAATTCATGGCTCTGGTTGTTGGGCATCCTTTGGATCAGTAATCTTGTTTAACCCAATTAAAGTGTAGTTTTATTGTCAAATCATATTTTTTTAAATGGTTCACTTTCCAGAATAGTTGTACCGGTAAATGGAAATGTGCATCAAATCGCTTCTATATTCTGTAAAAAAATTTTTTTTAAGATCTTGTGTTCTTTTTTTTTTTTTCAACTAAACACTTATTTTTCTGCAGCTGGCAGCTGAACTTCATTCAGTCTGAGTTTAAGGGGCAGCTTCCTCAGCCTTACGCCTCTGGACCTCTGGCGACACAGATCATTCCAGCCAATATGAACGACCAGAACCTGGAGGAGCCATCCAGATATGTAAGCCCCTCAGTTTGAAGGTGTTTGCTATGGTCTGGCAGTCATTTGAACTGATCTGTGAAATTTCCCTTCTGTGCAGGTAGACATAAAGACGTGCCACTACCTGGTGGACTTGGAGACGGACGAGGAAGCGCCACTGGAGCCTCGTTACTCAGCAATTAAAGAAGAGTGGACGGTCATTGCTTATAAGCCTTTCCTTCAAGCTTCAAGGTAGTTTGATAAAATAAAAGGACTTTTAAAATTTTTGATGCTCAAGAGGTTTCATATAAAATCAGTTCTATATTTATGAGGTGCTTAAAGTAATTTTTTTTCAATGTTTACTAAAGGATGAGCGATGGATACATATTTAATTCACATATTTTTTTCTCAGATCTTCTCCTATCTTCAGAGCCTTTTACATCCCGTTCATATCGGACCACCACACCACTTACAGGAGGTACATGATCTTGAAAGCTCGACGGCAAAAGCAGCCTCGTAAGCGGGCCCACGGCTGACATTTGGACTTCACCCCTCCCTCGAGCCTTTCCAAGATTAACAGAGCCCCAACTAGGAGTTGGTTACTTCTGTTCAAAGCAGCTGGTTTCTGTGTCAGTGTGCATGTGATTTGTCTCATGAAATGTGTGAATTAGCAGACCTTTTAAGGATGTTATGTCTGATTTGGAGCAGAGTGATTGTGAGTATGGACATGTGATTGCCAATCCTCAGCTGGGCTTTTTTTTTTTTTTACTGTTCTGTGTCTGTCTGTAGATTAATGTCTTCAAGTCATAAGCAGAAAAAAGATTACTCTTACCTTAAAGAGGCCACGGCACAACAAATCCAAGTGTTTTCTTTATACGCTCTACTTGAAAATGTGGCCTGAATTGAAGGATTCCTTTGAACATTCGATCTGAGATAGACTATTATGTGATGACTGCTTCTTTGGAGACAATAAATGTGTGGAGATGAGTGAAGGTTTGTTGTTATCGGGGTTCCTACATAGCCTTCAAAAGCATGGCCTTCCTTCTTTTCTTTCTATGGCCTTTCCATCTTGGCACAATCATCTCCTTCCTACAATCTTTTTATTCTTTAAAATTTTATTTCATCCAGTGTTGGGTTTTTGCAGATTTATAGTATGATCTTCTGAAACATATCTGCCGTAAATTAGCGGTAAAGTTTGGTGTTCGCTTTTATCTTGGCCAAACCTTTTTACAGAAGAATCTGGAGATGTGCGCCTGGACAAGTATTGAATATTGAAATGAGAACTATGTAGGAACCCTCTGTTAATTTATCTTGTGAATAATGTAAATAAATCCATGATTGATTGTGAGTGCATCTCTGTCTTTTTTTGGTAAAACTAAAAAACACTTGAAGCTGTCCCAAGCAGTTTATTTATAATCTCAGTTTATTTAAAGATTTTATTCAAGTAGCAAACATAGAAAGCTCTCCCTCACAAGAGAGGTGTCCAAAGAATACAGATTCTAAATTTTAATGAAAAAGATGCATTTTCTCATTCCGTTCAACTTCATGCTACTTTGTATGGTGAGGCTGCAGCCATTTCCTCTGAACTCTGAGCAGGATCCTTGTTCTAGTTACCTGTTTGAACTGACTCTGCAGGTCACAGGACAATTTTGTGACATCGTACATTTTAAGGCAGTTTACAAAAAGAATAAAAAACTACAGAATTTGTTCTTAGATGCATCTAGACTTTTTTCAGGCACTGTGAATACAATAATCCATGACATCAATGTTTATGGGATAGATTAAGGGCTGCATGACAGATTCAGGCAAGCAAGCTGTTACTCAAACGTCTCATATTTTTAAATTGCTGTACTTGATCAAATCCACTTTTTTAATAGCATCAGCTGCCTTTAAAAGTATTTTCTATTTTTTTTGTAAATAAATTAAATCAAACGTACAGTAGTGCATCATAAGTTGGAAAACACTTTGGAAAATCAAAACTAATTCAGGTAACCCTTTTTTTCCCCTTTTGCTTCATACATATATTTTTTCAATATTATTAAATGCATGTATGCATGGGCAGATATACATTGTTTGTAAAATTAAGTTTTAAGTACTAAATATCCAAAAGGTCATGGGGACCATGAAGCTGCGTTTGCAAACATAAGACTATCCTGTGTGTTTTGTTTTGATCACGGCTCTAAATGTTCTGGTTTCTTTTGTGACCCCCCTGAAGGAATTGCTGATGCAATCTTGGAGTCATTCTAGGAAGATTTGGGTTTTTCCTGCAAAGTTTTACCACTGCATCATATTTTCTCCAGTTAATAGTTTTTTACTGGTATTCCCTGCTAATAAACCCTGTCTAGATTGTTAAAATATTTTTCTGTCAACTTTTTTTTGTTTTAAACAGGTTCTGGTTCAATCATTTCTTGTTTCTACATGTCTGGCTGTAATCAGGCCAAGAGGATTTTAAACTTTGTCATCCAGAATCTATGTTGTTTAACCAAAGTTAATTTGTGAGTTTACAAGTGGGTGTTCAGTTTTCTAAAATAGGGCCTGGCTGGTTTAGTTTAATAACACACCCTTGTAGAGAATGATTTATTTTTCTGAAATAGGTTACCTTTGTCTAACAGAGTTTTTCCTCTCCACTGTTGTTACATGCATGCTTAGTGTGAGGAATAGCTGAAGAGTCAATGCAATCAGCTGGTTTTCCTTAGAAAACCAGTCAGACTGTATGATTTGGTTGAATTGTCTCTGTAAAGTGCAAATTAGATGACATGCTTTGTTAATTGGCACTAAATAAATAAATACAACTGAATTATTAAGAAATTAGATCATGGAAGAAACCTTCAAGGGGGGAAATAGTTTTTCACAGCACAATAGCCATAGACAAGATATTAAACTAAATTACACATCATCTTTATACAAACCCACTTTACAAAACTAGGACTCATCAGAAGTTTCTTATAAGACAAGATACATTAAGAAATAGAGTGTAGGCAGCTAATACTATTTGTGTTTGATTTGAATTACTATGGTTAATTCAACATCCATTAATAAAGCAAGTCTTGATGCAGAAACAAAGTGTGTTTTGACAATGTTTCAATAGTAGACACACATGCATAGTTTTTATCCATCCTCTCATCCCCGTGTAGTGGTTCATACAGTGGTGCGAGCACAGTGAGGGCTCAGTATTTCTCTCTGTTTATCCAGTTCTGCTCATTGAAGTATCTCCCTCCGCTGTCGAGATTCAGGCCGTTTCTGTAGCAGTCTAGATTTGTGTGGAAGGACTTTCGGTTAGCGTAGGTTCCGAGACTGGTTTGGAAGGTCTCATGTCTGCCGCTACTAACATAAGTCTGATAGAAGTCGACCTTTCCTGTTTGACCTCCTGCTTTCAGCCTGGGTTCATACAGGTCACTGCCTGCTCTGTTGCTGCTGTCGTACAGACCTTGATCTCCATACAGGCTGCCACTGTAATGCTCGCTCTTAGTGGTGCGGCGGCCCAGGCTTCTGTCATAATACTCTCTGTTTCTGGTTCGACCCAGACTGCCATCGTTAAGGTCCCTCTTTGCAGAGCGTCCCAAACTGCTATCATAGAAGTCCCGTGTGCCCCGGCGCCCCAGGCTGAGATCATTCAGGTCAAAGTTCAGGAAGTCGCTCTCTGTGCTGGCAAGTGTCACGAAGCCACTCTCTGTGTCCCGGCCTCCCAGGTTGTCGTAATCTCCAGTTGGCGTGTCCGGAGAAGAGCACAAAAAGGAGGTGTTCTTCATTTGGGGGCGAGCGGAAACAAGGTCATCTTCCTTCTGGGAGCGGATAACGTTGTAGACATCTGTAGAAGTTGGACTGGGATCTGTTTGGCAAACTTCTGACTTCTGCTCGTTTTTCCTTCTGTTTCACACACATATATAATCAAACATCCAAAGCATTAATGTACAAAAGCAGACACAACATTTTTTCTTATAAAGCGAGTTAAACCCTTTGTGATGTGAATTTATAGGATGTTTGAATGTGTTTTAAAATCAGAAACGGTCAATTTCAGATATTAGCCACTTTTGGCTCTAAAAGACCATAAAAAGAAAAAAGAAAGAGGAAAAAAAACAGAAAAAAAACAAAAAATGTTTCATTATATTATTAGTGAATACAGTAAAATCCTTAAGTTATGTGACAGATGGCAATGAATAACGCCCCCAAACCCTAGACGAAAAAAGTCAAGTTAAAGCCAGTGATAGTGCTGACTAACAGTTTTTGTGTTTTTTTTTCAATACCATAAATTGCTTCTTTTTTTTTTTCGTATTTAAAGGTATAATGGAGGATGTTCTTTTTCCGGGTGGATCATCAAAATAAGTGGTTTCTTCCTAATTTTGAATCATTCTGTTGATATGCAGCTGTCTAGTTATAAAAAAAAAAAGAAGGGGCTTGGTGAGATTTGTTTTTTTCTTAGAAGCATACATAGCCTAATTAATATAGTCTATTAACGTAAAGGAATATGCATACATATGGTTTGGTTGTTACATGTCAGGTACGCCGGTCATTGACCTTGACCAAGACACCTTACAGTAGAACTGCAGTCAGTCCCTGGACTGGCATGGCTATCACTACCCCTACATAGTTAGGGACTAATTTTACAATGAGATCAGCTCGCTAAATGTTTGAAGGGCAATATTAATGCCATTACTGTTAATACATATAGTAGAAATTTTACACATTTAATAATAAAATGTCACATGGGATGGTATGAGGGGATGGTCATTTAAGAAGGGGGATGATTTTTTTTTAGGAAGGGGGATGCCATCCCCCCTCATCCCCCTCAACTCGAGTACTGGTGATACACTTACGTAAGGTCATCATACATGCTCGTCCCCATTAGCAATTTTTTTCGGCACATGCGCACTTTCAGCCACATATGTGTGGTGAGCTACGGTTTCAGACAGAGTCGCTTGAAGCAAGCCTTTCTCAACGTGGATGTGTGAAAATGAGAGAGTGTCATAAGAGAAAAATGTTCTATGAAGTGTTTGAGAAGAAAAGAAAGGCCTTAGAAGGACAACAGAAGGAAGACCCTGTTTTTGGGAGATTCTTTTACGTGATGCCTCGGTTGCAAAGTTTCTGCTCAACAAGTTTTGCATGCTTTTGGAGAAATCCATTTCACATAACTGCTAGTAAAACGAGGAGAAATGGGCTTGTGCATGCTCTTACACACTTTAATAGGCGTTTCTTCTCTGGAGTGGGTACAGGGTTGGGCATGTGCATTTTTTTTATTTTTTTTTAGGAGAAAGGGTAGGTCAACGTATCGCGAAAAGACTCCACTACACCTTTAAGTATAAAAACCAACAGCATTTTCTACATGAATACTTGAGAAGATTAGGTGATTGATGGACTGCACTTACTTATATAGCATTATTTCAACTTAGGGGACTCCAAAGTGCTTCAAACTACAATCTGTCATTCACCCATTTACAGACACACTCACACACTGATGGGGGTAAGCTATATTGTAGCCACAGCTGCCCTGGGGCACACTGACAGCAACAAGGCTTACGGGTCCTCTGGCCACCGCCAGTTGGCAGTTTGGCTGAAGTGTATTGATCAGACAAACAACATTAGAACCAGAGTCAGCATGGCATCATATGAGAAAATCTCACATGATAAAGTAGCAACACATTGACTTATTACAACTCACTTATTAAAACCTCGGTCCATCCCTCTACACTTGCTTGCTTGCACCACTTTCTATTTACTACAGCCTAGTGAAATATTAATGTTGATATTTTTAACAGTTTTCCATTTTGCATTGGCATTTTGCATTTAAGCTTTGTTAAAGTTACTGTTGTTTTTAATATTATAGTTTGTGTGTATTCCATGCAGGATAAGTAAATCCTTAGTCTAAAGACCACCACCAATGTCTAACCCCCCATGTCCAATTACATAGGATGTTTTGTTTTTAAAGAGATAAAACAGCAACTTTGCTGTAAAATCATCAGCTTCCTGTTTTTTTCGGACATCTTAGCTCCTCATTATGTCAGCCTACACCAACAACTTTTCTCCAAACTCCCTTTTAGCAAAGCTGTATATAAAATTTGGTGTTTTAAGAGAGCTCAAATCCACTTTTTAAAGTTTCCTCAATCTATCCAACATTTACCTCTCTCTCTAATCAAAATTCCTCTGCTTCTATAATTTTGGTTGATTTTTTGTCCTAAAATATACATCCATAATAACCATTCAGCATCCCAGCTTAATTAAACAGACTTTCAAACAATGCACAGCACAATTCAAAAAACAACAAAATGATTTTAAGTCGAGAATAAATGTCAAATATGAAATTATCTTTTGGGCCTTACTTGAGAGATGATGCAGGAAAAGGGTGAGCTATGA